ATATATATATATGCCACGTCAGCAAACTAACGGATTTTTTGACATAATCTAACAACAGGGACCATTTGTGATCACACCTTGAGGACCACGAATGACAAAAAAAAACATTAAGGATGCAATTTGATAGTTTCGTAAACCTTAGAGACGTTTTGTGATATTAAGCCATAAAAGAAAACATAACTTGAAAATAGAAAGAGAAATCTAAGCAGTAAAGAAGAGTATATGCCTTAATTTCGTAAATGAAACACCACATTGATATGCCTTCAGATGTTCACCAGAAAAGAAATAATGAATTGGACTTGAAAATAGAAATGCTCTGTTTTCTACTTTTCGCCGTAGTCGCTCAGGAACTCTGTAGATACAACGCAATGGGGGCAGGGGAGACAAGTTGGCCAACTCTTGGCTCATCGAAGTTTCCAAAGGATTGTGCTGGTTTTCTATGTCATAATTTGGAGCTTCATTTTTTCTCCTCATCATCATGTACTAGCACCAGAATCAACATATATTACATTTAGTTGATGAGTGCAAGCAGGAAAGGGAACTGAAATCAAAATCTTGTATGAGACCAACACCTTAAACACTGACTTCGACAAAAAAAAACACGGACCTTAAAAACTCACATGAAGTACTTAACTCTACTTTTGTATAGATATTTCCACATTCCAATCTTATTTCCAATAAAAACAGGCTGAGACAAATCAAACTTTTGTCAAACCTATCTATCTATAATTAAACACTTCTCTCTCGATTAATAGAGTTCTAAGTTCAACAATTAAAAAAATGTTTGCTTAAATAAAAAGGATCGATGCTTGAATATAGCAATGGGGAAGGAAAGTTGACGGTACAGACTGGATTGCTGATATATATGCAATCAATATCATTGTTGCCAACAATACGTATTGACATATTATTGGTACATTTTTGCCAACATTGATATCGATGTGCATATCGAGAGTCTGTTCTCTAATTTTCTGTATATGTCACACAACAATGACATAAGATTAATAATGGAAAAAGAAAAAACAGAAAAGGGAAGTGAAACCGCACCTGCTATATGTATGACAAAACCAAGTTTGTTTCAGCCTTGATGGCTGATCACCAGAAAAGTTCAAGGCAGATTGTTTGCTCCTCTGGTAGATGTGATGAGGAAATTTGCTCTTGGCGGGTAGAACAAGAACATGAATTACCTAACTAATTATGTCACTGCAACAACATTCAAGGGTGCTCAGCATCGCCGATTAACATCTCTAACTAATCAACTCATATGCTGGATGTAGAATGTAATAATATAAACAAGGCAGAATGCCCAATTTGCACTCGTCTTTTATTCTAGGCAAGTACTACGACTAAGAGGAATACCTGCATGACCATTTGCAGAAGATGCATGCAAGTAATTGAGCTTGAAATCCACCCACTGTTAGCACATATCTATCATGGCCTGGATGATTCGTATACTTTGATCCAATACTGACTTCAAGCCTGTGATGTAATCACTGATTGGTAATTCTAACTGCGAGAAATGTTGCAGAATTCATGCATGGTAAGAGAATAAAACGATGAGATGAGAGAACTAAAAAGGAAAACGACATGAAGTTTTTATTTCAAAAACATATAGTTGAAGACAACTCTGACCTGAAATAGCAGATTGGCTTTGACATGTGGATCATCTAAGCAGTCCTTATCCCCTTTATATTGAACTCTCTCAGACAAAGCTTTATTGTAATTCTCATATTATCAAAGAAGATATTACAGTTCGAAATCAAGATAAAGATCTCATAATTTTTTAATACATAAAATTTCACTATGATCCGACGTAGAACTTTTTGTTGTCTTTGCAGTAAGCAAAGAAAAACATATTCTTGTTAGCAAATTTGTATGGAGGAAGAATGATTGCATATGACTGCGATATATAATATAATATGAACATTATATATTATATGTTTTATATGCCCTTTCTTAATAAATAGGACTGACTGATACCACTTCGCTCACAAGATAGTTGTTATAGGACAAGTATTAATTTTCTCCATTTTCAGAATCCACGGTTAATAGATCTAGTCACTCAAGTGTGTGCCTCATCATGAATCCAAAAAAAAAAAAACACAAGTACTCAAGTAAGAGCCAACCATAGACTTATTACCTCGTTATGCCGCACAGGAACTGCGTTATATTCAGAAGCAGCAGATAGGATATGCAAGACGACCTATAGTACATAACCTTCTTAAGCATAACAGCATAAAAAGTAAAAGCGAGAAATTAAAATGCTGAATAAAAATCTTCAAGAACCATTTCTTACTTCAAGCGATGTATCTGATCCTATGTTTGAACCAAACATTGATACAGTCATGTAGCTAAGATAATACTGGGATGCTATTGAACCCAGCATCGTTGGCTCTACATTGTCTTCATTCATCTTGATGCATCCACTGTCTTCCAGATCCTCAAATGTGTTTTGCACTAACCTGCCAAAATAATCAACAAGTAATCAAAGCAATGCCATCGAAAGAGAAAGCATATCCTGATAAAAGAAAAAAAATCCATGAGAATTGAGCATGGTATTACCTAGACAAATAAGAGCTGAGAACTTCAGGTTCAGTATTGTCCAAGCCATAGTAAGCTGGATTAAACATCTGTAGAAAACTATGCTCATGTAAGATCTTGTACAGGCTCAATAAATCAAATACTAAGGACACTAATCAAAACCAAAGGCTTTCAACTTGTGTCTTCATCATATTTAAGTACAAGAGGATCATTGTGCTGCTCCTGTCACAGCAGCAATGCAGATGATAGGCGTTCTGAATTTTAACAGCAAAAAAAAGATAGGTGTAGAGTATTGAAAAAATAAAAAGGAAAATGCTTTATTGATTAGATATAGGACTGCAAGACTTCATCCATTGACTTTATTAGATTTTCTGATATATTCAAAACCCCAAACAACCTGATTCCTAGTATTAATATTTGAGGCAAATATTCAGAAAGTAATATGATTTGTGTTTATTGATTGTTAGGCGGGCTGATTGTGACGGACATCTACTCCCATCTTTCTTGTAAAATCTGAGCAACTGTTGATTATAAAGGGAGAAAAGCATGTAATTTGATTCACATATTTCTTTCTTTCCATTTTTTATTTCATATAGTCATGTGTGACCAAAACCATCATTTGCAATACATCTGTGATTGATATTGCAAAATCAACATATCTCTTTGTTTTCCCATCATAATATTCTGTTCCCTGCAAGAGAATAAACACTTACGTAAACTGCATGGTGTAATCCAATGCCAAACTGCAAGGTGTGCCTCAGGTTAAAGAACCATCTGCTGGGCTTCTCCTGGCATACTAAAAAACTGGCTTGGATGTTCATCTGACATTGAGAACTTCAATAACAGAAAAGCACAAAAAAAATCGAATCAACACAGCAGACGGTTCAAGACCTAAACCCTAAATCAACACAGCAGCCGAAACCGAAGAAAAAATAAGATCGAAGCTTGAGTTGAGAGAGAGGCTCAAGACCGAGTCTTTGAATTTTGAAGATTGGACAGCGAGTGCAAGCTTCGTCTGTCTTCATTTGGACAAAAAAAGGACATGACCCGCCCAGGCCGCCTAGATCCGCCCATTCCGCCTAGAAGCCGCCTAGATCCGCCCAGGCCGCCTAGAAGCCGCCTAGATCCTCCCAGGACGCCTAGGCCCCGCCTAACTCCCTGGCGTCGGTGTCCTCCCGCCTAGCGCCTAGGCTGATTTTTCGAACACTGCTCGAAACCTGGAACGGGCTTGCTCTGTGCCCTAGACGTTCGTAGTGACGAGTTCGAGTCCTCTATCCGTGACTACCATGGCGTCCAATTTATGTATGCTTCTGATTACGTATAGCCGCGCGGCTATAAGCCATAAACAGAATATTTTGCAACAAAGTATAGCCGCGCGGCTATACCCCATACATATAATATTTTAAAAGAGAGTATTCCCGCCTGGCTATATGGAGCCTGGCTATAATCCATAAAAAGAATATTTTAGAAGTAAGGCCGTGCGACTGTGACTATACGCCATAAATATAATATTTTAGAAGAGATATTTAAAAAGTATAGCAGCGTTGTTGTACTTTATAAATAGAATATTTTATGAGTATAGCCGCTCGGCTATTCCGTTTTTTTAAGACGTTCTCACAACAATTCGAGACCCTTCCTTGATATGCCGCTGAAGCAATGAATGTCCAGATCAATCTCAAAGTAGTTAGGACCCTGCATGTGAGAGAGCTTGATAAAGTCAAACAACATGGTTTTTATGTTTCATCTTCTTAACACTCAGCAACATAAATGTTCAATGTTTACCTTGTAAAAATTGTGCTGGGGGCGTGAAATAACTGGTTTGTCATTATATGCATGTACAAGCTTCTTCTCAGCAGAACTCCGACCGAGATCCTTAGGATTTACCACCCCAACCAAGATCTTTAGTCTTTCTCTAAAAGATACAGTGGAGTCCTTTGCGAATCCTTTAACTTTTTCCGTCTCATCGTCAACCATTTTCTAAAAGCATCATTCAAATATATCAACAGACTGAGTGTTCCAATAGAACATAAGATCACATTTCCATCAGGGAGAGTACATCATAATAAAGTACATGCCTATCCAAATGGATGAAATTGCATACAAAATGAAGTTACCTTGATGCTGTCCTAGAATTGAGGAGAGATGTCTTTATCAAAATTGTCAGAAACTTTGAAATACATTACAAGACTCATCCCCTCTCCATCACTATCACCAAGAAACATTGCAGGCAACCGCAACAAGGCGCAGAGCAATATCATTAGATAAGTCAATTCTGAAAAAATACCTGTATGTTTACAATGAACACTTTCCCATATGCTTTCACTTTGGGAAGCTCAGGATGCTGGGCAATGTGATGTATCTTTTTGGGGCATACAGACACATCAACACCTATTGGAGTATGTGGACTGTAGTTCGGAGCAGTTGACTTTCATTATCTCTGGATGGTAGACAAACAGAAAATAATATTATCATTAGCAAGGCAGAATACAGTAATTAGTTGCAAATGTCTAAATTCAGCTAAGGTTGGTTTTGACAAAAGAAAAAACCAAAGTCATACTTGAAATAGTTCTCGCCACGGAATTTAAAAGTTGAGGGTGGAATCTCAGACCAAGATCCTGAAGTCAGCTTCTCTACTCTACAACATGGAATGAGACATCCTGGCCTAGGCCGATACAGAAACCTTTTTGATTGACCTGTGGATATATCATTGAAATGTTCAATAATATACATGTACATCAATCCCAATATTCTAAGTTTTCTTTCTATTAAAAGAAAATTGAATTATTCGAATACTTACATTGTTCAATGGTTTCTTCTGCATCACAGGATCTCCTTTTAAAAGAAAGTCTGAAAACGGCTGATGGCTTTCTCTGGGACTGCGGAACCAAACTCTGTGCACTTAGAATCTTATCGTTGAAACTTACAGAAGGTACCAATCGAGATAAGCCGGATTTCAGGGCATTGTCTTGAATTTTTTCATTAAAATCACTTCCATCCTCTAAGTCCTTTAAAGCTTCCATAAGAGTGATCTAATATATTCTTCCTCTTACTACGAACTTAATCAGCCTTCCCTAAGCGAGAAAACTCATAGCCTTGGGTACTAATAAGCGAAAACCAATTTGATTCCCTGCGCTCATCTTTTCCTATGATTTTATCTGATTTACCTCCATCTATTTTCATATAGCTTTGGTATTCTTCATACTTACACCCATTATCAACAAAGCGAGCAGATCTTTCGTACTGAAGTACTTGGCCACTTGAGATATTCCCAATTGGATTGCTTGCTAATGGAAAACCATCTGTAGAATAAGAGAAGAAAATTCAGCATTTCATGTCGTGTATGGATGGTGCCGGTGAAATTGCCGAAGCAAATAATTTTACTGATTGAAACCATTCCAAACTTCCAACTCATTTAAACCAGACTGGCAGAACAAGAATCACTTTGGTGCAGCGGTCTGCTTGCTGTGCAGCAAGTGTTTCACTAGGATATCCCTCATGGTCCTCCCCAACGGATCAACTTTCCTACAGCATTGTTCGCCATATCCCGAGTCATGATGACCAGATAAAGCAACATCTGGTTGTAATATATCTCCACTGTCAATTCTTATATTGTGAAGTAAACAACATACCAAGATGATGCTCGGAAGTTTCCACTTATCGGGTCTCCATATGACCTTGTTAAAGATTCTCCAAGTGCCCTTTAACTGCGAGAATGCTGTTACTGCAAGTGACCTTGCAGCCCAATGCGCGGCATTGAAAGAGGAAATGGAAGCTGGGAGACGGAAACACAAGAGCAAACCCTAAAAAATAGGGCACATAGCAGAACACAGAAACCCTGTGAGCACGATAGCAGATAAAGCAGAACACAGAAGCCTTGTGAGCACGGCAATAGATAAGGCATAACACAGAAGCCCTGTGAGCACAGCAGTAGATAAGGCAGAAACCAAACCCTAAAAATAGGGTAAGGCAAGGTAAGGCAAATAAAGGCCAAGCAAAGGCAAGGTGGCAAGGCATGGCAAAGAACCCTAAAAATAGGGTAAGGCACGACAAAGGTAAAGCCTTACCCTAAAGATAGGGTAAGGCAAGGCATGGCAAGGCAAAGCCAAACCCTAACAAATAGGGTAAGGCAAGGCAAAGAAAGGCAAAGCCAAAGGCAAGGTCAACGGGCATGACCACAGTGGAAACACACCAGCAAAGGCATGAGCAACAATACTAGCACCAACAAGAGCAACAAGGCAGAGACATAACAGGCATCATCAACAGCGATACAAGGCATTGGCACCAACAACAGCATAGACAACTTCTCTTCACTCCCTCTCTCCCCCTGAAGAGACGGGGTCGATGGAGCCATATGATCAATGGTACTTGAGAAACATGCACTGACTAACACTGAGATGTAGCAGAATCAGCCATGACAGATAGGTGGTTAAATTGCAGCAGAATAGATGAGCAGCGGTGACAATAGCAAGGTAGGCAGCGATGACGGTAGCAAGGTAGACGGCGGCGGCGGCAGACTAGGATTATAAGCTAGATGTATAGTGCAACGAAAATAGGTAGTCTCTAGGGTTAGGGTAGAGATAGATCAAAACACAGTAACATCATCGGCAATGACCATAACAACGGCAACAATAGCGGCAACGGTAACATCAATGACAGTAGTAGAGGTAATGGCAACGACAGTAGTAGAGGTAACGGCAACGACAATAGCAACAACAACAGTTCTTCCATATCAACTTTAGCTAAATCACGCAGACAACTTCTCTTCACTCCTCCTCTTCATGGGAATATGTCAAGCTAATGGGGATACGTCAATAAACATATCCTTTTCACTCCCCCTCCCCTGGAGAGCACTTAAATTGCAAGGAGAACGCAAACACAGGTCACAAGAAAACTAGGCTCTTATACCATGTCAAATTTTCCAGGTTAACGGGCCGAGGGCCCACTCCAACAACACCGATACTGTCCCCACTTTACCACCTGCACAATCCTCAGGTGTGGGGTTTTATCACAAAAGGCCTCGGTGTTAGTAAGAGAAGGATATTTCTATTTAAACTACTTTATCTTTGGCCCTCTGGCCGATGTGGGACAACAATGAGTTCCAACAGTTTTGCG